CTCCCAAACCGCCCGAGGTCTGCCCTCGGGTGTGAGTGAGCCCTGGCAACTCAGACTGTAGGTGCACTTGGGCCCTGGTGGGCTGGGTGCATGTTCGCCCCAGCCCTCCTGAACTCCCTGCCCTTGGTCTCCACCTGCGGTGCGAGCCACCTGTGCCGACCGCGAGCTGTCTCCCAGCCCCTGAAGTTGTCTCGCCGCCTCCTCCAGCTGGCTGGCCACTTGGGCACAAACCCCTGCACTGTTTCTCTACCTCAGTGCCATTCACCTCCGACCCCTTCTGCAGCCTCCACTCATGTCCTCTGCCATCACATCCGAGCCTGGAACACACGTGGCAGCCTCCTTGCCCCGCCCCCCCAGCCCCGGGCACTGGCCTTGTATCCAGATTCGTCCTTAATGGCCTTCCCGAGACGTCTGAGCAGCAGCTCCTCCACGTAAGGCCCTGAGAACTGCCCACTGCCCACGTGAGATCCCGGCTCTTCTGGGCTCCGCTCAGAGCGACTCCCCAGCTTCCCTGCTGCTGCTGCTGCTGCTGTTTGAGGCACTCTACAGTCGGGGAGCGCACTCACTGCTCCTAATGGGGGGAGGTAGTGACCACATCTCATGGACAAGGACATGGGGGTGATGTCGTGGAGGCAGATGCTAGTTGCACCAGGTCTGCCTGTCCCCAGAGCCAGGGCTCCTGCCGTGACACCCCTGCTTCTCAGGAAGCCCCGGCCCCCGTGCCTTCAACCTGAGTGTGTATTGGGTGGCTCCCCAGTGCCTCTCCCCGGCTGTGCCTCATCCCCTACAAACACCCAGCTTCTGTCAGGCCTCCACACCCTGAACTTGTTCTTGCCCCGGGGGCCTGCCGGCTCTTCCCTTTGCCGCCATCTTCCTGGGGCTGCCCCTCCTCCTTTCCAGACACTGGGGCGCTCTGCTGCCTTCCGCCACCTTTATTCCCTCGCCAGATGTGCTTGGGGACTGTTTGAAGCCAGGTCTTGCGTTAAGCTTTGGGGGTCCTGACATAGTCCCCAGTGGAGGACAGCACTTAATCTGTGCACCATGTCTGTAGCCAAGATATCATGAACAAGCTTCAAAGTGCCCAAACCCTCGGTGTCCCGCTTGGTGAGTTTCGACAGTTGAGTACGTTCGTGTAGCCACTTCCCCACATGAGATAGGGGTCACTTCTGCCCCGTGCCCTCTTCTGGCCACCCCCCATGACTCTCTGCCTTCTGTCATCCTACATCAGCTTTGCCTGAACTTGAGGTTGACCTTCCAGGGACCACCCGCGCCACGCACTTCTGTGTCTGGTGCGTGTGCTCAGCGCAGGGTTGCCGCAGGTGGTCCAGGCGGTCAGTGGCCCCTTGCTTTGCGTGCTCGTTAGCGGTCCTGTTGTACCTGCCACGCTGGGCCGTGCTCCGAGCTGGGTTGGCGATGGCGGGCCAGGCTGCCAGTGTGGGTGTCTTCCTGTGGACACCCGCAGAACTTCACTCACTCCTGCAGTCCCGGGCGTAGGCTCGCCCAGTTCTCCAGGTCACGTGGTTTCCCCTCCCGCAAGATGGTGCTGGGGCCTCTGATTTTCGCTGGTTTGCAGGGTGAGGTGGTATCTTTAATCTCCACCACCCTGATGTTAATCACCTTTGGTGTCTTTTGTGATGAGTCTCAACGTCTTTCACCCACTTTTAAAAATCTGTGGCTTGTCTTTTTATACCTGACTTAAGGGAGTTCTTTATGGATTCTAGGTTTTAGGTCTTTATCAGCTATGCACTGCAAAGAGAGTTCAGACAAACGTAGGTCTCCAGTTGTGAGTACACAAAACACAGTTTATTGTATTATTTAGTAATTGTATTATTTTCCATATGAACAACTGTAACTACTTTTGGCCAATCCAGTGTTTTCCCCACCTGTGGCTTACTGATTCGAATCATTTTCTGAATGGTGTCTTTAGAAAGGCAGGTGTGTTAACTGCAAGTCCCGTTAGCTTGTTGCACGCTTTGTTTAGGTGGCCGGCTCCCCGTGCCAGAGCACTGGGAGGGCGGCTGCGGCTGGGACCCGGGCACGGGGCCTCTCCGAGTTTCCTGACAGGTGGGCCGCCCACTACAGTGGGGCGGGTCCCCTCCCGAGCTTCCTGCTTCTTGCCTTCGCCTGTGCCCTTTGTCCGTCCCTCACCCTCAGCTCTCAGAGCCCCTCCCAGGGTCTTTGTTCTGCTGTCCGTGGGGACCACCCCTCACTCACTCGCCCTCGTCCCGGGTGTTGTGGGCATGGCAGGGGCTCTGACCTCTTAAGCACGCCCCCCTGGGCCGCCTGTTGGATGAAGTGGATTCCTTTCAGTCTCTGCAAAGTGACATCTGGGGCTCCTGGCACACCATCTCCTGAGGTCCCCAGGGGTGCAGTGGCCGTCTGTGGGTGCTGGTCATGTTTCCTTCTCCCTGTTACCCCTCAGGAAAAACTTCCAAGCAGACACTGCACTCGGGTGTTTGGTGAGTGCGCCTCCACCTGGCCCTGGGGGGTCTTGTCTCGTTTGATCCTCCACAGAGCCCTGTGCAGCCCTGTCACTCTCCAGTGTCTCCCTAGGAGATGAGCTGCCATGTGGGTTCTTGGGGCCTGTCCTTGTCCAGGACGGCCACACCTCCCTGGGATCAGCACTGTGGCTCCTGCTTCCTCCTGTCCTCCTGAGAGCCAGCGGCACAGCAAACACACCTATTTCTCCTCCGCTTTGTGCGGAGAGGCACCCACCTGCTTCCCAGACACCAGTGCCTGGGTGGGGTCTTGGTGGCTCCTCTTGGCCTCGTTCAAGTCCTTGCTGATGTTATTATGGCTTAGTCAGGCCCGGTGAGGTGGCAACTTGAGACATAGGCAGGGACTGTGATAGGCTCATTGCTTGAGGCAGTGCTTTCTGTTGTGCAGACCAGCTCCACTAGCTCCGAGCCTGCCTGGGGGCACTTCCTATCTCGCTGCTGGAGCTGCAGCCCAGACCTATCAGTGAGTGCAGATCTGCCCAGCTGGGGAAAGGTGGCGGGGCTGCACCCTAATCTCCAAAGATCAGGAGCGGGGGTTTGTCAGTCCCGGAGGGATGTGGAGGACTCGCAGGGGGTGTGGGCGAGCCAGGGGCTGTGGCTTGAGGCCCCCTGTGGGGCCAGGGGCGGAGGCTGAGACGACCTTCAGGGCCGCAGCCTCTTTTTCCCAGGGACTGGCTGTGTGATCCCGCGCCTGAGCAAGTTTGCTCTGTGACCTTGGCGACAACCTCTCCTGCCTCTTTCTCATCCTGGAAGATGGGCACCTAAGGGACCTCGTGAGGATGAGATTAGCACAAAAGCAAAGTATAGAGTGTTATCTGGCCTGGAGGTCAGTCTGCACAGATCCTGGACCTGGAGGGTGGTGGTGAGCGTAAGGTCTCTGTCCATGTGTCTTGTGCCTAAGGAAGCCGCGGGACGCCGGCTCTCTTCCCTCCGGCAGAGGCGGTGCCCACCCACCACCCGCCGACTCTTGCCCGTGTTGCTTTGCATCCCGGGGGGTTGCAGGTGGAGACCCTCCAGTTCGGGGTGGCGGGAAGGGACCACTGTCTCAGTGCTTCCAGAGTGAGGCCTGGCATATACCAAATAAACAAAACCTAGGCTTTCGGGAGGCCACACACGGAGGGAGTCTGCTCCACTCACCAGAGTCTGGCCTCCCGCCTGACTTCCACCCACTCACCCCCTTCCCAGAGCAAGGCCCCTCTTCTCCTGCCCTGTCTCCTCCCTGGCCCCCAAACTGGGTGGGTAAACCTTGCTTCCCGCGGTTCCCCATTCAGGTGTCCCTCTTAGCTCTCTGCTGTTGGACCTCTATGCTGTCCCACTCTTGTCCCCTCCTCTGTCCCCTCCTCTGCCTCAGGTCCCTGCCCTGGAGAGCAAGGGATGAAGCCTGGAACCCCAGAGTTCTTTGCAAGGACCCAAGGGAGATGTGCTCCTTTGAAGGCCCTGTCTGAATCATGGAGACGCAAGGGGGGGAGACCCTGACCCTGCGGGGCTGGAGTGGAGGAGGAGATGGCGGAGTGATTAACTGCTGCCTCCAGAGGAGGCTGGAGAGGCTCCTGGGATGGACAGGCCGCATCACATCCCAGAGCCTGAGAGACACTTCCAGGCCTCCCCGGGGCTGGGAGCCTGGGCCAGCATTTGCGTGGCAGTGCCCATGCCTGTGGGGCAGGGCCCTGTGCAGGAGGGCTGCGGGCTTTTGAGACAAAGTGGCCCCTGGTGGGGGACAGTGCTGCTTGTGACACTTCTCAGACAGGGCAGCCTCAGGGCCTCAGCCTTTGCACAGGGTGACTTTAAGAACATGGACAGGAGCTGCTGGAGGTCAGCCCTCAGAGGTGGAGGAGGTGACAGGTCACTGGAGCCGTCTCCTGGGAGAAAGCCTGGAGCTGTGCTTCTTTGCTCCCCCTCCCCCCGGACTGGGGCCTGCCTGGGAGCAAGGGGCCTGGCGGTGTGAGCCAGCCTCTGGGGCACTCGGGCCCTAGCGTCTCTTCAAAGGCTGGTTACTTGCAACTAGAGGCTGGTTTCTTCATTGTGCTATGTTCTTAGTGGCAGCTCCTGCTGGTGGCCAGGCCATAGAGACCCCCGTGGCTGTGCTAGGCACCCAGCAATGGGTGCAGCAGTAGCTTCCTCACTTGCTACTGTGCTGAGGGCCCGGGTTTCTGCTGCTGTCACCCAGCTCTCACCACAGATGAGAGGTGTCAGTCCGTGGATACAGAGGTGCTAGACTCGGGTCACGCCTGTGCTGGGGTGGTCATGCTGGCAGCCAGGCAGGCGGGGAGTCAAGTCTGCAGCCAGAACCGGCCCAGGGCATCGGGTGTTTGGTCGTGCTGTGGGTCCTTACTCTGTTCCCACCTGCTCTGTGCACCAATAGAGAGTGGGGGCCCACTGGGGCGGCCTTGGGACCCCAGGTGACCCAGACTTCTGCCTCATCTTGGATGGGGAGAGGAAGAAACTTTTCTATACTACTAGGTTCTTTCACCTGGTCTAGTGATTAAATCGACATGAGACAGGTTAACAAGAGACAAGAGCCACATTTAATGAGGCAGTATGTACGGGAACCTGCATATTGTACCTGAGAGAGCCCGAGACCCCACATATATAACAGGTTCCGAGACAGAGGGGAGGATGAGGCGCTTACGGCATTCCGAGCGAAGGATGAGGCCAGGCACCTTGGGGCTTCGGAGGGGAGGGAGGTCACTGCAGGGTGGCGAGAGCAGAGGGGCAGTTTGTAGACATTTGCCCTGCTGATTGATAAAAAAAATTACCTCTGATAATCTATTACAGGCAAGGACCCTAATTTGAATTATTCTAAGCAGTTAAGGGGGAACCGAAGTTTCTGTTGTGCCTCCAGGGTCTCACTTGCCTTTAGCTCAAAATAATCCATGCGCCACAGAGGCACATCTTGGGGCAACTCGTCTAAAACCCTGCAGCCGTCACTGGGGCACTGCAGGGTTTGGCCATGCTGGGGTTCGAGCCTGAGTATGTCTGGTCTGCACGCCAGGTGCAGCCGGGCAGGGAGCGTCTCCAAACCAGTGGTTGAGGAGGCCATGTGCTGTCCTCTGCCTGCTGGGTGGCACGGGCGCCCACGGAGCAGAGGCAACAAGACGGAAAGCTCCCAGGCCCACTTCTTGTCTCTCCCCCTCCTGCATGGCCGAGCTCCAAGTTCTCTCTCTTCTGCCGGGTGCCCTGGAGCAAGTCACTCAGCGTCTCTGCGCCTTTAAGGACTCACCTGTACAGGTGGGACACGGCTACCCACTGGGCCGCAGGCAGGCCTTCCGGAGCAGAGCCTGCTCCGCCAGGCATCTGGCACCAGCAGCCACCCTTCCACCCGTGGGGTCTCTCCAAGGCCAAGTTGTTTTAATGTCCACTTGTAAGATTAGTGTCTGCTCTGCTTGGCCTCGTGGCCCTGGGCACGACCCACCAGGTGCTGTGGGTAGAAGAAATACCTTGTGAAGCTCACCTGCATGAGAGGTGGGGCTAGTGCTGCCTCTCCCACGCCCCCACTGCCTTTGCTGAAAATGTGATGACCAGCCTCTTAGTCACCCACCTCTCCGGACCAGCAGGGCTGCCTCCCACGTCGTCACGGAGCCTGGCCAGGACGCAGCTGCATACCATGCACTGTGACCGAGGAGCCCTTGGGCACGTTGGTGGCCTCACCAGGGAAGAATCTGAGGCACAGAGTTGTCCAGCAGCTTGGTGACATCCTGCCACCAAGGCAGGGGCTGGTGGGGTGACGACACCCAACTTGAGGCCTGCTCGGGCAGGAACAGTGGAGTCTGCTGGGTCTTGCTGAGTCACAGGCTGCTGGCTGCTCCGACAGGACAGCGGCGAAGGCACTGAGTGGCCAACTTTGTGGGCTGCTTTCAGAAGGTCCTCCCCAGTTCAGGCAGGAAGGGAATGGTTTAAGCAAGCTCATCCTGGCCCATGACCTGGAGCCCTGGTGCTGACAGCCACCTCTTTCGGCCCCTTAGAGTGTTGGCGGCCTCGGGGACTGTCTTCTTGTGCCCCCCTCGAGGAAAGACACCTGGCTCCACACCCTGGGGAACATCACCGGCTCTGGCTGGGAAGCTCCAGGGCAAAGGGCGAGGCCTCACGAGGCAGCTCCCTGCTCCCAGGACAGGGTTGGGCATTGGCTGATGGAAAGAACAAGACAGGGGTGCCCTGTAGGACCCCCCGGAGGCCCCTCACCGTCTCTGGGCCCCTGGCTGAGTGCCTGAGGGCAAGCCTTCCTCTCGGCTTCCCGTCTCGTCAGCCATGAAGTCTTCCTGTGGCCTTTTGGGGAAGCCACTGAGTCAGCTGTGTTACAGGGACAAAGGTCACATCTTGAAGAGGTTAAGCCAGTTCTAAGTTTCACAGCTGGAAAGGACAGGAGCCAGGAGTCAGCTCTGGGGCCCAGGCGGCCGGTCACAGGAGGGTGGCTGTGCAGTTGGGTCAGGGCACAGAGGACTGGAGAGCCGCTTGCTGGGAATAGGTGTCACGCTGTCCCTGCGGGCTGTCTGTGCCTACTCAGGGTCCACAGGACCTGCTTGGGGCAAGCCTGTGAGGATGGAATCATCACATTTGGCTGGCAGAGGGGGTGGGGAGGGAGCCCAGCCAGTGGGGCTAGTGCCAGTGAGCATGTCTGCATGTAGGTGGGGGCTGTACCTGGCATTCAGAACCGCCCCAGGTGAGAGGGACAACCCAGGGAGCTGTCAGGAGCCAGTGTCTGTAGCCTGCTGGGCGCCGCATGGGTGCAGGTGACGCCGGGCCTCCCTGGCCCCTGTCTTGAGCTTACCTGGCCCTCCTGCTCTCTGCCTCTCACGGGCTTCCCGCCATTGGCTGCAGCAGCTAGGGGAGGCGCACAGGAGCCACCTGTCCCGGCCCTGGTTCGCAGAGACTCTGGGAACACGGCGCAGGCCTGGGGTGGGGCGTGGCACTGCCGCCCTCCCCTCTCTCCTCGTGCTGACTGGGGCCTGCATGTTTCCAAAGGCTCGTCCCTGCCGCACAGGAGAAGGGGTCTGGCAGGGTGTCTGTGGGCAGGGGGCAGGGAGGGGAAGGAGGGCACGAGGCCCAACTCCAGTCCCAGGCTCCGTGACTTCGGGTCGTGACCCTTTTTGAGTGCAGGCTTCAGCCTCCAGGACTGAGCACAGGCTCAGCCCCAGGTCGGGGACAGAAAATGCTCTGCATGTTAATAGAGAAAACAACACTGATACAGTAGCAATAAGAATCAACTCTAATACCACCGACGTGCCCCCGCTCTCTACAGGGCACGACCCTTGGCGCCTTGGAGGTGGACGGGGTTGGCATTCCTATACTGCAGATGAGGAAACTGAAGCTCAGAGCGGTCACACATCCCACAGAAGTGGGGCCAGGCCTCCAGCCAAGGCTATTCTGACTCCAGAACCCAAGTCCTGCAGCCACTAGACCACCAAGCTCAGAAACATGTCGTCAAGACTGGTGGCCTCTCTGGTGCTTTCTGACCTGCCGTCGTGGGCAGCGTCCCAGAGGGACAGGGCCTGTCGGGAGCAGGGTGCAGCTGAGACTGGGGTGTGTAGACGAGAGCCAGCCCAGTCCTTGCTGCTGAGCAGAGGCCATTGATCGCCGGCCTCCCTGGGGTGGGGGCTCTGAGTGCCGGGTGGGGCGGGCGGGAGCGGGCGGCTGGCTCTGCCCTGCTGGACCATGGGAGCCCTCCCACCTCTCGGGTCCCGTTCATCATGGCCTCTTGGGACCCCTGAGGATGTCTGCTGCTTGCTTTGCCGTTAGGAATTAGATTAGTTTTCCATAAAAACAGGATGTGGTGGGTGAGATGGCTGTGTCGGTCTTTTCTCTCACTCCTCTTTTTCCAGGAACTGAATGTATAGCTTTAGCTGGGACTGCCCTGTCCCCACCCGCTGCCTCCCTCAGGCTGCGGGGAATGCTGCTCTCTGCTCTTAAGTGGCTGCTTAAGCAGCTTCTCCTCTCATCTGCGGAGCTCACTCCATCCCCAGGAGCCAGCCCGCCCACGGTGGTTCTGTCTGAGGGCCCAGGAGGCTGTGGGCCGAGGCTGCAGGGCCCAACTGCAGCTCCAAAAGCCACCGTGCCAGAAGGGGGGACTCTGTGCTGGCCCTGTCTGGACATCTGCGGTGCTGGACTGATGCTTGGGTGATGACGGCCTGTGGGAGCTAGCAGGCGCCTTGGCCCCTCCCCCCAGGAGGACACTCCCAAGACAACCCAAAACTTAGGGGTTCGTGAGTCCCCTTGGCAAGTCTCAGTCTGGAGGGTCCGTTGAATTAAGGAGGTGGTGGAGAGCTAGGCGGGGTGAGGGGCATGCCTGGCCCATGTACTCGGGGTGGGGACCTGTGTGTGGGAGCTGCGTGGCCACTTTAGGAAAGAGTCCAGTTGCCGGGAAGACACAGGCATGTTTGGGAAGGCTGGTGGGGGTGGAGGGTTGAGTGAGGGAGTTTGGGTTTTGTCCTGCCAATGAGGAGAGCTGTCGAATCCCCTGGCCGCCCTCTTCGCTCTGTGTTCTATGAAGGGGATTGCCCCACAGTTAAAGATCCAGCTCAGAGCAGGCTGGTCCAGCCTGGCTCTGTCACTCACTGGCTGTGTGGCCTTGGCTTGTGACCTGTGGGGACTTTCCTTCCCCAAGCACAGTCCCTCATGAGCAGATAGCAGTGGGGCCTCCCTCCAGTGGGGCCCCTCCTGTGAGTGCGCTGCGCCTTGCCTGGCTGAGAGCTGACGGCATTACACTTTCAAGGGTGTGAGAGAGATGAGGCGAGGGGAGTATGTTTTCCAGCGAAGCTGGCTCCCCTCTCAGTCACTTCTCAGCAGGCCTGGGCTTCATGTCTCCGGAAGTGTCAAAGCTGACTTAAGAGGGGGGAGAGCCTGTGGCCAGCTTATGCAGAAGGACAGGACCTGCCCCACTTCCGCTCTCATCCCGAGCTGTCCAGGCCTCTGCTCCACTCAGCAGGACTTCGCTGGGCAGCCGGCTGGGGCCTCTGTGTTCCAGGCTCTCAAACATTGGGAGTGACCAAGATAGGCCCACAGGAACCCCGGCGAGGTTGGCACCTCTTTGGTGGCACAGGGCCTGGCCCAGGAAGGCCAGCACGCTTTGAGGCCCCAGAGAGGCCACAGACACAGGCCGGAATGCCCTGTAGAAATGAACCCGGGTGGAATTCCAGAGATCAGAAGTGGCTCTGTTCCGGAAGATCATCTCAAAATTCATGAGTACTCTTTTCCAGCGGAGGGGAGAGGAACTGTGGGGAGATGGGCAAAGGGAACTCCAGCGTAATCAGTGGAGTTTCCTTTGGTAAAAGGTACATTAGGTGGAGAATCTTACGAGACATACGGATGGTACCAGGAGGAGAGGGACTCAGTGCTTATTACTCTTTGTAATTCCCTGCATCTAAAAAAAAAACTTCTGAAAACGAAGAAAAGGAAAGTGCATGTTGTACAGCTGGTCTGTGACCTTTCTTGCAGAAGGGAAACTGAGGCTCACCTCTGGCCTGAAGGAGTCCAGTTCCGTCTTGCCAGGCCTGCACAGGCCATGCCCCCGGATGCTTGGAGCAGCAAGGGCTGGGCCCCTGTTCCAAGGGCTGGCTTCCTGGGGGTGGGGCCAGGCTGCTTGTTATGAGCAGACTGTGTTGATTTTTCCCTTGGTCACTTCATGAGCTTGTTGAATTTCCAGAGAACACGTGGGGCCCCCGGCACCCCGTCAGAGCAGCCACCTGAACTTCAGAGACGGGCAGACCAGGCTGGTGTTCACAGTGCAGGACCTCCAGGTCAGCTGGATCAACCAGGGTTTTCCAGAGAAACAGAACTAGGAGGGTACAGATAGATATGACATCTTAAGTAAGATATAATACATACTTATACATTTATACATGTGTATACACACCTATACCTGCATGAGACAGAGAGGAGATGATTGATTGATTGATTGATTGATTGATTTTTAAAAAGAGGGAGAGAAACATCAATGTGTGGTTGCCTCTCACACCGCCTACTAGGGACCTAGCCCAAAACCCAGGCATGTGCCCTGACTGGGAATGGAACCAGCAACCCTTTGGTTCACAGGCCGGCACTCAATCCACTGAGCCACAGCAGCCAGGGCACATTCACTGTAAGGAACTGGCTCACACAGTTACGGGGCTGGCAAGTCTGAAATATGTAGGACAGCCCAGCAGGCTGGAAATCTAGGCAACAATTGATACTCTTGGGTCGAAATTCTGCAAGGCAGCCTCCTGGAGTTTTCCTTTGTCGCCAGGGGCACTCAGTCTTTGTTTCTAAGGCTTTCTTCCTGATTGTGGCCAACCCACCTTGGGCAGGGTCACCTGCTTCACTCAGAGTGGACAGATTGAAATGTTAATCCCAACTAAAACATGCCTTCACTGCAAACACAGATGTGTTTGACTGAACTCGGCGCCCAAGTTGACATGTACAATGATCCACCACACCCAGGCCGCGCCGTTACAAAGGCACCCAACCTACTGCTCTAAGAATACACAAACCGTGAGCTGATCTACACAGGACGTCTCTGGCCACACCTCCAAGCTTTCAGGCAAGTCCCCTGACCCCGTGCCCTCATCCAGAATGGAAATAGCACGTCAGGTTCTCCAAGGACACTCAGATGGCACCTGTCAGCTGGTCCTCACACCTGCCTCTGCAAGGTGCCCTCTCAGTCACACGTTTGTGGGGTGCCTCCTGGGAACCAGAGCTGTGCTGGGGTGCACGGCTGCTGGGGAGCACAATGGTCAAAGGGCAAGTGTCCTGTTTGACCAAAGGGGAAACCATGGCACAAGGCAGGCAGGCTGAGTCTCCTGCTGAAATGTGCATGGGTGGTGAGAGCCCCTTCCTAACAGCCAGGCAGAGACACCTTCCCCACCCAGCTCCCTCACCCCGGCAGGTCAGGGCTCTGAAGGGGCCTGTGGCCCTGCTCTCCTACCGGGCCAGGCTGCTCTCAAGAGCCAGTGACCCTGCCCCCACCTGCCAGCAGGAAGCAGCCAGGTGGCATTCCTCGCTAGGTGTTGTTAAGGGCCTTAGGGAACAGGGCCTGCCATACCGGACAGGCCAAGGGACTTGGGGTGCTGGGAGCCTGCTGAGTCACAGGGTGGGACTCTAAGTCAGCACCCCAACCTTGTGTCCTGTTTCTTGAGCTGAAGAGGAGACTTGGGGGCCGGCTCTGCCTGGGGTGGGCCCCCCATTTGGGCAGGTGGCCCAGGAGCTCTTTGGAGGCCCCCATTGCTTCTGGGCCTGGCTGCTGTGGGCTGTCCTTAAGGAGGATGAGTCTCCACTCTGGGGAGAGGTGGGCCAGTGCGAAGACAGCCCACAGAGGGCTGAAGGACAGGTGTCCCCTACCACACAACCAGACAGAGGGCTTTTGTCCTTCCAG